CTGCAGACGGCGAACGCTAAGGAAAAGAAATTAATAAAAATAATTTTCGTTAGCATGTTATTTTTAATTTTCTAATATAAATCATATATTAAGAAACTACATTTATACTTCACTATTATACTCTCTAAATCTGAATCAGTGAATAGTACTGCTGAATCAGTGAATAGTCACTGATTCAGATTTAGAGAGTACCAATTGTACATTTGATTGAATTAGAAAAATGCCGATAGGATTATAAAACGAGCCTAATTAATTTTAAAATGATTAGCGACATTAAAAATCATCTTATTCAAGTTAAATGATCAAATCTTAATGAAGTTAAATGATAAAATCAGTATAAAAAGTCTATGCGGATATTTGACTATAATCCATCATGTGTGTAAGTCCTTTCTGATAGAAAAAAAAATTACGTACAGGTGAGTACTATGATATATCTGGTTAGCTAATATCCAATTACCGACTTTAATCGCTAAAGCAAAAAATCAGAAGAAGAATTCTGGTTTAGATATCGAACAGCACGAAGTGGTACATATAAAGAAATATTAGTAAAATTCTTTTAATATTAAATGTGTCGTCGAAAAACATCGTCGTTGAAACATCTTTCATCAACAAGTACTCCTTTTCTTGAGTTGTGCAGATTTTGTAGATTACTTGAATTCTTAAATATGTGCAAGATACATATCTTGAGATTCCTCTTTGTCAACCATTTGTTTGGAAATGTAAAGCTGTCTATTTAAGTATGAGGGGCCAGGACAAGAAAAGAAACTTAGATTATTCGTTGTGAGTTCAGAATACGAGTCCATCTTGCCGAATACAGGTATTACCACCCTGTCGTGCGCAAGAAAATTATGTATTGTTATTAAATAATATAATGTGTGATATTATAATATTTTATAATACTAAATTACAATATTATTAAATGCAAACAGATAATGCGCACTTTATGGTTGCGAATCTCGTGTAAAACGCTACGGAATCTAAACAAATTATAAAAAAAACTATAATATTAAATTTATATGACAAAGATCACGTACCTTTTTCCCATTAGCTCATCGAGTTCACCGGATATAATCGCTGCTAAACCAATTGCTGTATTAAAGTCGGTGACGTTTTCTTTTTGTCGTAAAAAATTGACCGCAACTTGAACAAACGTGTGTTTTACATAGACAATCGTGTCAAACAAGTTTTGCATTATTCCTCTATCATCTTTATGCCACGCATAATTTGTCACTGGAATAGCCAATTCATTATTAAACATCGAGTTTCTTCTAATGGTCTTGATTAATGGATCAGTTTCTGCAGATTGGACCTCCTGGAGATGGAGATTACATGTAAAGTTTTCACAAAATTTCATTTTTATTCAGAACGCAACCTTCTTCTTAAGATGTATAATAGCTCATTAGATCGAAATAAAAAATAACATTTTACAATTTACTGTTATGAAAAAATGCACGTGTTCACTTACAATAATCATTACATCTGGATTACATCCTTTGATAGCCATCGCAATACCTGCTGTAAGTCCGCAACCATCGATCGTCGTCGGTAAAATAACTGCATCAACATTTGGCAATGTTTTTAAAATTTCTATGCCCAAGGTGGCTTGACCAATGATCATATTTGGATGATCGTTCCTATCCGAAAAATGTCGTTGAATATTTCGATTAATAATTCGGTCATTAAGAGGGAGTATTCTAGTTTGAAAAATTGTAAACACGGTATATTTTTTAAGGAATTCTTTGTAGGGAAACAAAGAAAATGAATAATGTTAAACTTCGCATACTCTTTTAGCCTTATTTTAATAATATATTATTTTCTAAGTAACAAAAGCGCTCTTCTTTATATTATATTTTGGATACTAGAAGCTAGCAAAGAAGAACTTATACGGACGGTGTAAATGATTCTAGCTGTCCTGGGGGTATCTAACATAAAAACCAAAAATTTTCTTACTTAGGAGAAGTGCGATTATTATCTAACTAGGATTAAACCAATATTTCCATTCTGAACTAAATAGAGGCCTTTTTATTAAAAATATTATAGTTTTTCCTCAAAATTTTATTAGTATTTTATTAAAGACATAACTAATAAATATGTATAATGTTTATTTTAATTCAGACGATACTTTTTCTAAATAAGAAAATTTTGATTTTTGCATTTCAGATATCCTCAACAATTAAAATCACTTATACCGTCCATATGCGTTTTTTCTTGCTGTCTCCTAGTGACCAGGGTATAACATAAAAAAGAGCGTTTTTATTACTTAGAAAAAATAAATTTTTAAAATAAGATAAAAGAACTTGCAAAGTATAGCGTTATTAGCTTTTTTCGTTTTCTTACAAAAAATTTCTGAAAAATACCTTTTTTACAATCTTTTAAACCATATAATACCCCCTTAAATTGAAAAAAATACTAAAGAAAATCAAGCAGTTCTTGAAACAATAAAGTATGATTACATAAGTAATATTAATTGCATCCCTTAATTTAACTAATTTTTAAATAATAAAATTAAATCTTAATTAAAGATAGAAACAATTGATGAAAATATTATTTCTTAATGCAAATATATTTTAAGCAAAAAAGAGAAGCGTATTATCTTGTAATGCCGTTGTCGCTACAGTTTTTTTTATAATAAATTGTTAACGGTAAGTTTCCCTCGTAATGTTAACGCTAACGCAGTTACGTACGCGTTTAATTATTCCATAAAAATAAGAATTTGTAATGTTACTTTTTAATGTTACACCTTTCAATTTATTTGCAAAATTTTCAAATTTTCTGATAGACACTAAAATTATAAATAATTATTACTGTAAGAACTTGTATCAATCTCTTAGTTATGTAGCGAAATGAGTTGTCACTTTTCCATAAAAACTTTTAGATTTATTGTCTATATTTTGAGCAATTTGTTTGTGTTTTTATGTTCTTCTTTATATCTTCTAATAATGCATTACAAAAATGTACATAGGTGTGTATAATAATACATAAAATTAATATCTATCAAATTTCACATCTTTGTCTTTATCTCTGGTTTTCATACTTACTATTTATACTTACTATTCATATTTACTTCTATAAATCATATATAATATCAGTATTGTATGTTTATATCAAGAAAGGAGTAACAAAAGAGTAACTTCTTCTTAAGTTATTGATTAATAATAACAATAACGTGCTCGTTTTATCAAATAAATTTTCTACCCTGATCTTTTAACTTAATCGAGATTTTGATAAAAAATGTACCCGTCAATGTAAACTAAGCCTTTCTCCCTGGCAATACGCAAGGCGATGTTATGTGCTTCTACCATATCACTAGCATAGTTAAGTACTGTTGCTCCGAGATCTCGACACATATTGATTGTTTCATCTGCCGTTGATAGCGGCATCACAACAGTCACCAAGGTTTTAAACTTCTTCCCAAAATGGCAGAGAGTATATGCGAAGCTGCCCGTTGAGATTGTTATCACGCCCTTGCGTTTCTGCTGGTCCGATAACTGTTGCAGCGTGTAAACCACGCCTCGTGCTTTTACGCTGTTCGTAATCTGATGTACCTCTTTCTTCAGAAAAATGTTGAAACCTCTATCGCGAAGAAGATAAGTCACCTGCAATCAAATTACGTTCAGTTAAAGATTGGCCTTAGGCGATTCTTCATGAATATTTTGGCTTACAGTGAATCAAAGTCATATGACCTGCAAACACCAAGTAGCAGTAAAGTTATATCAGTATTATAATTTCCTACTCAACAATGTAACTAGGTCTGTTCGTTTTAGCTGAATCTCCAATGTGAAAAGAAAAAGAGGAAAAATGAACCGTGTAAAAAGTTCAGCTAAAATAAACAGGCCTATTGTTATATGTAACATATGTTATATTATATTGTTGAATGGGAAATTTTAATATTGATATAATGGCACAGTTGATGTTTACCGAGTATATATATATATATATATCATAGTATCTATAATATTGCGAAAAACATATTGGTCAAATCCTTACTTAAAATAAACTCTTAATTTGTATTACTTTATTGCATGTATGAATTTACTTCATTTTACAGTAAAATTTATTGTAAGTCCTTTATATGCAAAATAAATGTCATATTTCTACTTTTCATATTCTTACATTATCGTGACTTCAATTTTGAGATTTCTGGAGTTATAATAACTTCATATTGAAGTACTTATATACATCGCCTGCTTTTGCTAAGAGCGAGAAGGTAAAATAGTTATGTTAAAGAGATCTTATGGTATTTATTACCTGGTCACATGGTGTTTCGTGAATGTTCTCTCTGTGAAAGTGTTCTCTCATCAGAGACAGTATAATATGGCACGAGATCTTGTACCTTTCCGCTAGACTTGATTTCTTGGATCCTTTTTCAATTACATTCTGCAAAGTAAAACATTAAATTTACGTGTTCCCACTTCAGCGAACATACGTGATGACTTGCCTATCACGAGATTACTTCTAATAATATTGATTATTGAAATAACATTCGAATAATTGAGAAATATTGTTATTCCTGCAGATATTTCCGAGAACTATTTTTAAAATACGAAAATTTGTCATAGATACGCATCGGTGCACATTCTGAATAAGTATATTGAGCTTTAAAATTACGATTGATCAAATCAGACTTACCCACATGTAAAAGTATGTGTTTGTTCTTCTAAACAGTGGATGGACCAAATTATAAGAAAACGTTGATGAATTATATTCTCTTGCTTTCGTTTCCATTCTTCTCTGTTTTTTACTTAATAGAAGAGATATTGATGCATAAAGTAAAACGCTGTTTGTTCGATAGAAATCACTTGCCACGTAAATGCAAGTAATCGGTAGCAAGAAATAGTGTCGAGCCTGACTTGGCTTCTGTCGAAAACTAGCCTCTTCCTCGCAACAAACAGACGTTCCTTGTCAAACTTAGCTCAACTACAGGTCAACTAATTCTTTGACCTATTCAGAAGTTTCTGTTTGCCTCTTTTGTGTTTATAAATTTCGTAACCAAACCGACCTTTCTTCTTAAATAAATATCTAATAATGACTTGATAATAATAAACTAGAAGGTCACATATGTATAGAAACAGATCTGCCATATAATGAAATAAGTATTACATAGCAGAGTTATTTATTTTTTCATTTGTCCTGCATTCCATGCAAATGATTTTTATTTTAGAGTAAAATTTTTTTGTTTTAATATTTAATGCACATGGTTAAAGGCTGATGGCAGTAAACGAAACGTAATAGGCTCTTACGTCTATCGTAATCATAAACGTAAAGCAAGGTAGAGAAAATTGTATATCTAACTACGTTCGTATCGTCACGTACTTATGACACGATAGTGACACTTTTTTCATGACTTTAATACGTTTACGTAGTTACGTGTACGGTATCAGCCTTGCTTCGCGTCTATGACTATACGATAGACGTCATCAGAGCCTACGTTTTGTTTTCTGCCATCAGCTTAGATTTGTACTTCTTTTTTCAGAATGTAAAGATTTGCTAATATTAAATGGAACAGATTTAAAACTTCTTGTAAAAAAGTACATAACATTTTTAGATATAGGTATTTTAGATATAGGTATATGTATGTATATTTGTTATAAGTATAATTAATTATAATTATACTCATAATTTTTATAAAAAGATTTATGAAAGGTATTTGCAAAGTTTGGAAAATAATTCTATTGTGTCCTATTTATTTCATTACAGATGATATTTCTTTATGCATATTTACAGGACTGTTTTAGGATATTTAGTTTAATTCTAATAAGTGTTTCACTTTTCTTTAATAAATGTAGAATCCAGAACGAAAAGAAAAACAGAAAGCTTTTTGTAAAAACGCTTATATAGAGATAAGGCGAAACGAAAGAGTTGTATTAATATCAAGATTTAAGGGATGTGGTAGATCTCGTTGCGGCGCTGGCAACAATAATAAGCATAGCGCACGTGTGCACAAAAGCTCTACAAATATTTGCCGGAGCTTGGTAAGACTCTCGAGACATCTTCCCGTCTCGAAGGAAATGCTCGAGTGCAATGGTGCAATCGCCAGAGACGACACCTTCGTGTTTCTCTTCTGTGAGAAATTCTTATTCCCTTTTTTTTCTTTGTCATTTACGCTACTTTCTAGAATTTATTAAAGATATTCGCAACTTTTTATAATGCTTCGAAGCAGTTGATGTATAGGTATATCAAGACTGTATTTTTTAAATATTATTTTCTTAACTCCTTCAAACTACGCACAACATTAATTAAAAGTTTTAAAATCTTATTTTTTGGGATATTGCTAGACTTATAATAATCTACAATTCATTATTCAGGTATTTACAAAATTGATTGAAATGAAACACACTTTACTTTTACGAAGATTATTTTTGCATTGCGAAGAAAATTATTTTTCCGTTTTATGTTAAGCAAATATATACAGTCTTTATACGCTGCAATGTTAAAACGTTATGTTTAGCATTTATTTATACTCAGTATATTCAGTTTATATGTTTCTTCATAAAGATGTTTCTTGATAAACAAAGATGTACAGATTTGAGACCGGTGACTGAAATTACTGAATGTAAGCTTGCGTGATGTAACACAACATGTGGCAAAGAGGTCTCTAAACAGAGAGCTAGGTAATGCACTTGAAAATATAAGAACGTGCGAATACATGAGAATATATAAAGAAATTGTTAGCAAAATGCATTTTTTTAACCACTGTCGCGAAGTGGATTTCGTAAAATTTTCCACACAGATTTAATCTTTAAATTTATATAATTCTTATAATACTTTAATAAGAGAATTTATTATTAACTCGAAAAAATGCAATAATCTTTTTATAATCAAACATTATTTAAAAACTGTAGGATTCATGAATAATTATTGCTTCATCAAATATGGAAATAATCGCAAACAAGCTATATATAAATGTATATAAGAATTTATCGAAATGGGGTTTGTAATTTGAAAATTATTGACGAATTAATAATATATATTAAGCTGTCAGTTTATCTTGGCGCACGTAAATATGAAGTACAGAGCAATTGCTCTGTATAAAAAATATAGAAATTAGATATGTGGCGGTTATTTGTTATTAAATATTTTTCATGAATTCGGGTTTCAGCGGGTATCGAACAAGTAAAATAAAATATATGAGTATTTAAGCCACCAGGGCAATTAATTTGGAATTACATTTACGGAGGACATTTTATATATTTTTAATTCCGCTTGTTACTGTGTACGTATGTATGTCCGCTATCAATGTTAGTCAATGCGCTCTTTCAGAGTGAAATGTGCTACCGCGCAGTCGTTGCAAACTCGTGCGCACCGATTACTTTGCAATCGCTAATGACACGCCGACCAATGATGATGGTGTTTTACATTAAAATGTACACGCAACTGCTCCCGTAAGCGGCTTACAACGCGCGCGCACACATCACGCGCTATGTCTATATTTAATCGGTATCTGCTACCACATGATCAGAGTGCCTAATGAAGTCGAAACTGTAAGAGGATCATCGGGAGACCGCGAGGTGTAATCTAATGTTATAGCAAATTCGGTAAGACATCGGAATAAATCAAAAGCTCCGCCCGTCAGCTGTTCCATCGCCGAAGTTAAATAACTTTTAATAATTTTCTGTCGTGTCGTTTCTGAGATTTTATTCGTATGCAGCTTATTCTGAATTTCTTCTTGTGGCCTTAGCCAAATAAAACTTTCATTTTTACATAGCAAATTAAAGAAAAGATGCTTTCATTTTTACATAGCAAATTAAAATGGTAACCTTGAAAATTTGCCTTTAATTCTAAATAATTTTTTGTTTTAATATTGATTATTACGAGCATTTACGAGATGTCTATTCTATGTAAATATATGCAGAATATTTAGAACATTTGCCATACATATATTAAATATTTCTAAATTAAATTTTAATTAAATTTTAGAACGATCCCTGTAACATTTGTATTGTTAAATTGATATGGATTATTAATAACTTGCGTAACTCATGGTACAATTGGATGATCTGCAACATCAATACATAATAATAACTGTAATAATGACAATAGTGATAAGAATTATAAATGGTAACAATAATAATATAATAGAATTATTAATATGATGTATGTGCGAGAACATAACGTATTTGCATGCAACACGGAAGACATAATATTGAATCATGTAGGTTAGCGTATTAATTTATTCATTTTGGATTTATGTTTAATAAATATATAATAATATAGAAATAAGAGAGATATGTTTATAGTTATAGAGTCATGCAAGGATTAAGTGTATTTTATGGCAATATTTCATATAGCAAAATTGATATATATAGTCAAGTATTAATTCATAAATTTATCGAAGTCATTTATAGATAAGAGAAGATGAATTTATAAATATGTTTTATCTTCCAGTGTAATATGGAAACACTTTTATTATGTCTAACAATGTTTGCGGATATACATACGTATACAGTAACTTATGAAGCAAAGATTGCTTACTATTATACATAATATATTTATACATAATATAATTTGAGCTAAACTATAGATGAGAGTTAACATAAAATTCATCCACAAGATATTTTTAACGAATAAAACAACAATATTTTGTTCCTTGCATGCACGTCAAAAAGATATTTAAATTATATAGTTAATATCGTAAAAGAAAAAAAATTAGATCTTAAAACTGGGGAAGCTTTGTTATTTCAGAGTGTCTCCACGAAAAAGTTTCCGTTATAATAACTTCCGAACGACGTTACAAAACCTTTCTTTAAATAATTTAGCATAAGTATTTCATTCTTGAAGCCTTTTATCGTTAACACGAGACGGCGATTCCTCGAATAGCACGCAACCGAAATTGCGCACGCGAAGCTCTTTTCATGGTTGATGAATGAGCAAAACGGAAAGGAGAAATAGGATCTCATGTTGTACTAAACGGTCGACTAGTTATACGACTGTTGGTCGAGCGCCGAAATGTAACTTAATAGTTACATGTAGTTAACAACTTGCAATAGCAAATGCGCATGGACTTGCGCCAATACTGCATTAGGATGAGTGATGTTAGATATTTATTGATAGATCGGAACTTTAACAGATTATTATATAGAATACCTTACATAAGGAGCATCAAAAATTTAATTAAAAGATTTTTTTCATTAGTTTGACTTTTGACTTTTTCATAAAAATGCCAAAATAAATATAGTTTGTAAAGATAGCAATTAAAGAGAAGAGGGAGAACTCTAAAATCATTAACGGCCCCTGTTATTTTACGGTAGAATCCGCGTCTGCAAATGGAAATGCGATCGATCGAAGACATGCTATATCTGATATAGATATTTCACGTATATATGCGCATACTGGTTGTTGGTCGCTTACTTTGGGGGCCAACGAATCCGTTAGACGACGAGAGAAGCCGCGAATTTCCCTAGATGGAATATGTACGGTTTCTGGGCATAACGGGGTGCACGTTTAATCCCTTGGAACGAGTCAATTTTGGTGCGCCACGAACCGAGGGTAAACCCTTCCAGTATAGTACGAAGAGAGGTAAACCCTTTCGGATTCGATATGGGATAGAAGGCTTCGTCGTGATATATCAGAAATGGCACTACTCAAAATCCATTGTTTCGCCATAAAAAGATCGAATTGTGAGCTGAAACAACGAGAATTGTTCGAAATATGCTTACAGTTTATTTCTTT